TATTTACCTAAACTCAACAAACTAAGGCACCCCTTAGCATTCTTTTTACAAGAATCAACAAACTAAATACCTTTTGTATTTCCTCTAAGGATCTTTTTCTCATCTACCTACACTCACCCCCAAAAAAATCACATTTTGCAACCTTCTTCTAATCCCTTCTTCAGTCTATTTACACTTTAGAGAAAAAATTAATGCAAACACTCTCAAAGTCTAAAGCACATAAGAGAGCAGGGGAACTGATCTGATCTCCTGGAAGTTTTTGATGTTGTTCTTGTTTTCACATCCTATATCAAAATGACAGTACATTAAAATTTATGTATTTATTTCAGATTTTTTCTTTTCGGGATCTTTTTCTTCTATTCAGGTTTCTATAAGGTGAGATTCTCCATCTTACACACTTGATGAGTTTCTAATAAATATGCTTCCCTCTTCACAGAAGGTGATCTGTTTATACCTCACTTCTTTTGGAGTTGTCTTGAAAAGCTAACACAGAAAAAAGTATAATAACACTTCTTTTTCATTTTTTCTATTTTCAAGTGTCATCAATGTGTCTTGCCTGTTTATCGAGTGGCAGAGTGAGAATCAATCATATAGTCGTTGCCAGTAACAGAGTCATTAATCGCAGCCTCTACTGAATCTGAAACATCACAAAGCCATTTGACATTTTCCAATGTCTTTCACATTACTGGAGATACAGTATCGTTTGAGTTAAAAGTCAAGTTCAGTTAACATTTTCCAGTATGTCAATACCTTTTTTCACAATTATACTCTTATACTATTCAATTCTTTAACCCAGAGTTTGTCTGCTCTGTTTCAGAGTAACACTCAAGCCATTTAAGAGATTATTCCTGTCCATAGCAATTCCAAAAAAGAAGCATGAACAATACTACAGTTACTCTTCTTATTGTTATATTTATATCCATCATTCCATTTTACCTGTATAAAGAATAGAGTATCTTCAAGGAGTCTGAGGTTTGCCTGTGCTCACTTAACACAAACTGTCACAAAAAATCTTGCAGTTGAAGGAAGTGAAGCTAATTAACAGCTTTACAAGACAGTGACCAAGGGATACTGCAAAGACATTTGCTTAGAAGGAGCTCAGGGGTCGAGGGACTTTGCCTCTAGAGACCTCTTTGGTTTGACCAAAACAACCAAAGGTTCTAAAAGCTCATAATAAGGCACTAGAGAGGAAGAGGAAAATGAGAGTGGAATATTTTCTGCTGAATATCTTTGTGCCGTTTTGTTGGCCATTTTCCAAATATTATTCATAATATTTGAAAATAAACATATAAAACGGATAATTTTATTACAATCATATTGATCATCTCTAGAAGCCAAAATGCTTCACTTTTGTATAGTTAAATAGTGAGGAAATGTACATAAATACTCCCTTTCTTCAACAGTTATATATTGAGTAATTATGGTTGTGCAAAGATTTAGTTTTATGCAAATTTGCTCCGGTGAACAGAATTTAAAGTGAAACTACTGAATTATTTACCAGTTGATGAGAAGTTAAAGTATTTATGTTACATCCACACCTCCAAATACTCTGAAGCTATTCTAAAGCATTTTCAGACTCTTTGTAGTTAAATTATACTGTTGAGTGAAACATTGGGTAGCAAAAGAGATTGCATAGTATAATTCTGAGCTTATAAATATATCTTTAGAAATGAAGAATAAACTTTTTCAATGAGTACTTCAGAGAGTAAGATTATTAGGCAACAAAACATGGACTTTAGCTTTAAACTTTGCATACTTATATCAGCCAAGATACTGCCAGGATACTCAAGGTAGATAACTTGAGAAGTGTTTAATAATGGGAATATTTACAAAGCTGTGGCAGTGTAAAGGAGAACAAAGGC